AGTGTTATAGAGGGCGGACAATTTATGAGTTTGCCCTGCATAAGCTTTATGCAGGGTAAAACGGATTTATCTGGGTTTAGACCCCATTGGGAGTTGGGCATCTGAGTGCTAAAGACAAGCACACTTCTGGGAGCTGTTTTCAGGTAAACTTGCAGCTTTGGGGCAAGTGATTCAGACCCTGGGTCTGTGTTGCAGCAGACGGGAGTGTCTGGCTCAACAAAACAGGGTGCTGGAGTCCTGAGCTGGCAGGGAAAACAGGAGCAGAGGTAGTCTTGGCACATCAGGTGGCAGCTCCCCGGGGCGTTTCTGTGATCCAACCCGTCACAGTAATGTTCAGAGAGAGAGAAGCAACCAGCTTAACCATAAAAGTTATTTATTGAATAATAGTAACTATTGGTAACTAAGGAGAGCCTAAAGCAACATAATGTTTACATTATTAAAGGTTACAAAAGTCATATATAGAAAACTATACCTGCCTGGGGTAGAAAAGAAAACAGAGAGAGAGAGAGCTAGAATCTCACCAATCCATGAAGCTTGAACTGGTCAGGGTTCCAAGGTTATGGTGGTAGCTCAGGGGCCTGAGCGCTGGAGACAGGCAGCATGATCAGTCAGGAGAAGATGGAGTCCCAGTGGAACTGATGCAGAGTTTGGATCCATGCATCAGAACACTTACTGGAGCATTAGTAAGGGTTTTTGTAGGGGAAAATACAATGGTTCAAGGGAGAACACTAGATTTGTTTATGGGTAAACTGATGACTCAAGGGTTTTCTTTAGGCTAGACAATAGGAGCTGATCACTCCTAGCTATGGGTGATGTTTCTTCTCAGGAGCTCACAATGCAATTAAGCTGCTTCAATATTTTGGATATCAATGGAGATGTCCTATCTCCTAGAACTGGAAGGGACCTTGAAAGGTCATCGAGTCCAGCCCCCTGCCTTCACTAGCAGGACCAAGTACTGATTTTGCCCCAGATCCCTAAGTGGCCCCCTCAAGGATTGAGCTCACAACCCTGGGTTTAGCAGGCCAATGCTCAAACCACTGAGCTATCCCTTCCCCTAAGGATTCATTACTAGAATTGGTCTCATAACTGCTGGGCTGGGTGTGTGCAGATGTAGTTCATTAACATCTGGAGCAGAGATCCCCAGGATGCAGTGCTTTCCTGCTTTTCTGGTCCCAGAGTTCAGTGCGGTTCTTGCCTTGGAATCTCTGTTTTCCATTCTGTATGCTAATGGAGATGCCTCCCTGTCCCATCTTTGATGCAGATGAGGCTAGGGGAGTTGCCTTAATCTTGTCACCCTTGTCATGAGTGGTCTAGGTGTGTCCCCCACCGCCCTTCACTGCTCTCTGCAAGTCTTTTTTCTGATCGGTTTTGGTTCCAGCAGAGGCTGGGGGGTGGAGGGGAGGATGTCCTTTCATGAGTCAGACAGGCTGGATACTGCGCCCTGGTTCCCCAAAAATACAGAACTGACTGGTATCAACACTTTAATGGGACCAAAACGGGGAGGGGGGAGAGAAGGAGAGAGGGGAGATACTATCCATCCAAAAATATTAAAGGAACTGGCACATGATATTGCAATCCATTAGCAAGGATTTTTAATGAATCCATAAACTCAAGGGGCATACCATATAACTGGAGAATTGCAAATATAGTACTTCTATTTAAAAAAGGGGGGGAAATAATCTGGGAAACTATAGACCCCTTAGCTTTACCTCAATTGTATGCAAGGTCCTAGAACAAATTTTGAAAGAGAATAACTAAAGACATAGAGGTAAACAGTAATTGGGATAAAATACAACATGCTTTTACTAAAGGTAGAATATGCCAGACCAACCCGATCTTTTTCTTTGAGAAGATAACTTGATTTTTTTTAAAAGCAACAGAGAGTCCTGTGGCACCTTTAAGACTAACAGATGTATTGGAGCATAAGCTTTTGTGGGTGAATACCCACTTCATCAGACGCATTATGCTTATGCTCCAATACATCTGTTAGTCTTAAAGGTGCCACAGGATTCTCTGTTGCTTTTTACAGATCCAGACTAATACGGCTACCCCTCTGATACTTGATTTTTTTTAGACAAAGGAAATGCAGTAGATCTAATCAACCTGGATTTCAGTAAAGCATTTGATACTAAGTTCCACATGGGAAGTTATAAGTTAGCAGGAGAAGATGGTGATTAATATGAGAATAAAAGGTGGGTAAGGATCTGATTAAAGGGAAGACTACAATGGGTCATACTGAAAGGTGAACTGCCAGGCTGGAGGGAGGTTACTAGAGGAGTTCCTCAAGGATCAATCTTGGGCCCAATCTTATTTAACATTTTCATTAGTGACCTTGTCACAAAAAATGGGTGTGTGTTAATAACAATTGTGGATGACACAAATACAGAGGTGGACTGGAATAGCATACAAGAAAATGTGGATGACCTTGAAAATTGGAGTAATAGAAATGGGATGAAATTTAATAGTTAAAAGTGCAGTTATGGACTAATAACAATAAACTTTGCTATAAGCTGGGGACTTATTAATGGGAAATGCCAGAGGAGGGGAAAGGCCCGGGTGTATTGGTTGATCACAGGATGATGACGAGCCACCAATGTGATGTGGATGTGCCAGAGGCTATTGCAATCCTAGGGTGCATCAAGTGAGGTAGTTCCAGTAGACGGGAAGTGTCAGTACCATTGTACAAGGCACTTGTGAGCCCTCATCTGGAATACTATGTGCAATTTTGTTTAAGAACAATGAATTCAAACTGGAACTGGTGCAGAGAAGGGCTACTAGGATGATCAGAGGAACCTCTCTTATGAGAGGAGAAGTAAAGGGCTTGGCTTGTTTAGCTTAACACAACAAAGGCTGAGGGGAGCTATGATTGTTCTCTAAATACATCAGAGGGATAAACACCAGGGAAGAAGAGCAGTTATTTACGTTAAGTGCCAATGTTGACAAAAGAACAAATGGATATTAAATGGCCATCAACAAGTTTAGACTTGAAATTAAACAAAGGTATCTAACCATCAGTGGTGTGAAGTTCTGGAACAGCCTTCCAAGGGGAGTAGTGGGGTCAAAAAAACCTAAGACTCATCTTGATAAGTTTATGGAAGGGATGGTGAGTTAATACAGACAATTCTTTCCCAGGTGTCTGGCTGGTGAGTCTTGCCCACATGCTCAGGGTCTAACTCAGGGGTCGGCAACCTTTCAGAAGCAGTGTGCCGAGTTTTCATTTATTCACTCTAATTTAAGGTTTCACGTGCCAGTAATACATTTTAATGTTTTTAGAAGGTCTCTTTCTATAAGTCTATAATATATAACTAAACTATTGTTGTATGTCAAGTAAATAAGATTTTTAACATGTTTAAGAAGCTTCATTTAAAATTAAATTAAAATGCAGAGCCCCCCGTACAAGTGGCCAGGACCCGGGCAGTGTGAGTGCCGCTGAAAATCAGCTCGTGTGCCGCATTCGGCACGCGTGCCATAGGTTGCCTACCCCTGGTCTAACTGATTGCCATATTTGGGGTTGGGAAAGAATTTCCCCCAGGTCATAGTAGCAGAGTCCCTGGGATTTTTCACCTTCCCCTGCAGCATGGGACACAGGCCACTTGCTGGTTTGAATTAGAGTAAATGGTGGACTCTCTGTAACTTGAAGTCTTTAGATCAAGATTTGAGGACTTCAGTAACTCAGCCAGAGGTTAGGGTCTATTACAGGAGTGGGTGAGTGAGATTCTGTGGCCTGCAATGTACAGAAGGTCACCCTAGATGGTCATGATGATCCTTTCTGTCTTTAAGAAACTATGAGACAAAACCTATTTTCTGTAGAACCCATATTGACTGGCACAATTCATATTTCTATTGTTTAATTCTTTAATAGTTGAATCTATCAGTTTCTTCCATTATTTTGTCCAGAACTATTGTCAGGCTAACCAGCCTATAATTACCTGTGTCATCTTACTGGCTGTTTTAGACTCTTGGCTTGACATTAACATTTTTCAAGTCTTCTAGATTGCCAATATTTATTAAAAATTAACAATCAGGCCAGAGATTTCCTTAGCCAACTTTTTTAGGACTTTTGGATACAAGTTATCCAGGCATGCCGATTTGTTTATCACATTCTCTTTTGTTGCTGAGGGATTGGAAAGGACTTTGTTGTCATGTGATATTAGTGCATCATCCTCCGTCTTTCCAAATACAGAACAGAAGTATTTATTTAACACTTATTCCTTTTCTGCACCATTATTAATTTTACCATCTGTCTTTGGTAATAGGCCTATATTATTGTTGATTGTACAGTTAGGGAGTATGTCTGAAAATGTTGGCCTTCACTTACAAACGCTATTGTAAACAATTCCTGGTGGTGGGATTCGGGCTAGTGTGAGGCTGTAGTTAGCTCATCAAGAACCTGAAACTCAGACCCTACTATTCATTCATGGAATATCAGTTGGGTTTTTTAAACTCACTATTCTGGTTTAGAAAGAGCCAGTAGGAATTAGAGCAACTTCCAGAAATATTGAGGAAAACGATTTCAACACCAGCAAGCAAGAAAGATAGCAAAGGGAAGTGCTAAAGTGAAGTGGTAAGTGTTCAGGCCGGTAAGTGCAGCTGATATAGTTTCCTAATGCAGAGTTGTCATGAGCTGCTTCTGCCACTAGGTGCTGCTATTGGTATGATGAGGGAGAAAGTTTTAAAAAAAGGGGAGGGGGGGAGGCTGAAAACTAGAAAGCTGTTTAATTGCAGTTCAGTGCAGGGCCGGCTCTACTGTTTTTGCCGCCCCAAGCAGCGCGCCGAATTGCTGCCACGGACGGCGGGGGCAGTCCGTGTGCCATTAGGGCGGCACGCGCGTTTCCATGGCTGCGGCAATTCGGCGGCAGCTTCTGTCTTCAGCTGGCCCCGCCGTCCGCAGCGGCAATTTGGCGCGCTGCATGGGGGCAAAAACACATGGACTGCCGCCCCTTGCAGATTGCCACCCCAAGCACCTGCTTGGAAGGCTGGTGCCTGGAGCTGGCCCTGGTTCAGTGAAAGAAATCTTCAGAGTGTTGAATCTAACTTTTAATTGAATGGGGTCAAAGTTTTGAAGGGCTAAGTATCCCATTCCCCTTACAGCCTTTGGGCACCTGAAAGCATATCTGGTGCTATAGAGAAACAGACATGCTCCCTGTCCTGAAGAGCTCACCATCTCAATTCAACATGTAATGGGCCATACACAAACAAACAAACAAACAAAAAGGGGGGGGGGACACAGAGAGAAAGAACATAGGTGCCAACAATAAAATCAGGTGGAGACTCAGGCATGTGCACATTTAGCTGTTTTTTTTTTCCCCCTTAAGGCAGATGTTTTTAACTCTTTGCAGGCAATGCAGCATGAGTGAATTTGGAGGAAGGATTTCAGTGAGGTGAGGAAGGTGGGTTTGGCACAGGTAGTGTGGAAGAAGGCCATGAAGGTGGGAATGGGAGAATGGCACAAAGAGGCATCAAGGCTAGTACTTTGTTTCAAGTTGAATTTTAATTTGTTTAATGAACCCATGTTATTAGGTCATACAGGCTAAACAACATGTCAAACGGGTGAGTTAGCAAATGGCGTCAGGATTTGTCCAGAGAACACGTTTGTGTATTCTGCCAGCTCGGAGGAGCTCAGACTTGTGTTATTTGGAAGAAAGGATGCTCCAGAAAGAAAGTCAAAGCAGTCAAAGCCCAAATAAATTAAAAAGTAACTCAGATATTTGACCTTCCTATACAAATGGTTTTACACTTTATAAATCTTACAACCACCCGCTATTAAAGCCAAATCCCCCAAAACAGGAGTCAATACAAATACATCAGAGAGGAGCCTGGAGAAGAAAGAACTAGTTCCGCTTTGCTGTGTGATTCTTTCATCAACACTAGTCAATGTTCCTGCTTCATAAAGCAGGGCATGTATAAATATTAAAGCAGATGGTTGACCACAGTAGGCAAGTGACAGCTAACTTTAGGATGTGAGAGAATGAACCTTATGATGCTTGGAGAACAGTATCTCCAGCATCTGGCTCAGTCTTCCCTTGGCCAAGTAAAGCTTGGCTACGATCTACTAGTAACAGTTTCGGATTTTATTTTGGATCAGGTGCAAAGAGAAAAAGGATTAGCTCATTTCTACAGTTTGCCAAATCTTTTCTCACACAGGCTCAGCCAGTGTGCCACCCTGCTTTGGGCTCTCATTGGCTCTGGAGGTAGAGGAAGCATCAAATTTGGAGCTACGCCCACTATAGCAATAGCCAGCAACATGAGCTTTTCCCTCTGCATTTCAAGGTGCTGTACACTAAAGGTGACATGCTGAAGTTGAGGGGATGGGAGGTTGATTCAGCCAGCTTCCAGCAGTGTAACCCAGGGATGCAGATCATTGGTGGTGAAAATTTTCTCACAAGGGGCTGCGCAGACAAGGGGTGGGCATGGGTGGACACATGGTCTACCCAATTAGCACCCAGGCCCACCCAAATCTGAGCCTATGTGAATGCAGAAGCCAATGTCCATGTGGTTGAGGTTCAGGGAGACTTGGCTTAAGAGAAGTTGCCTCTTGGCCCATCTGCAGAACACCATGGCTGGCCCCATCCCTGCCTCTACCCAGTGCTGCAAACTTCTCCTGGTTCTCAACAACTTTGGTGTCAGCCAGGCCCAGGCCTGCCGACAGCAATTCTGGGCCCCAGGGGAGAACAGTTAATGGGCACTCTTCCAGCACGGCCAGGGCTTCCACATGCCTGACCGACTGCCTTCGCTGCCGCCGGTACCACCCCATGCACGCCAAGGAGCCCTGCGGCCCGCTTGGGCAATTTAAAAGGGCCTGGGGCTCCCAGCTGCCATTGCCGCTGCAGCAGCCGGCGGCCCCTGGGCCCTTTTAACTCACCCAGGCACCCCCTGTCGGTGGGCCTGGCCGGGCGCTGCACAGGCGCTCACCAGCACCCCCAGCCCTGACAACCCAAGAGCTGTGGGGATTGCCCATTTCCACTGGCCAGCCCAGTCCCTAGGCTCCCTGCATGCAAATTCCTTCTCTGCATCCTACAATCCTGGCCCCCAAGAATTCAAATAAATATAATATGCAATAGCAATATGTATCTAGTATAGTAATATGCAAAATACATGTTTTGCTGTGATCTCCAGAACTTTGGTAATTGCCCATCCACCATAAATTGGGGTCTACCCAAATTTCCACTCCTAGCTACACCACTGGCACACACTCTGCTCTGTCAATGAGCCTGAAGCTAGCCAGCAATGACTAGGAAAAGGGACATGGGTAAATGAGGCACTGAATTAGTGTCTTCCTCTATCTAGTGCCTGCTGGTGTGGTTTAGGAAGAGCAACCACAGAGGAGCAAACTGCCTGCTCTCCTCCAGATACGACCCTCCAGGGTGAATTAAGCACCGGATGTTGCTCTAGCAAAGCTACCACAAGATAAAAATCCACTGGTGCTGCAGAAAGGGAGGTTGTGTTCTGACAGGCTTGAGAATAGGGAAAGGTGTTTCAATAAGGTCTTCTATAAACATCATCCTCTTATCAAACAAGTGAATGGCTCCCCAACCTTCAGTTAAAAATCCTCCCTACTAAGTCACAGTTTTATCAGTCCCTTGAATTCTTAAGTGAAAGTTTCCTTGGAGTTTTAAAAAAACAAAACTTGGTGACAACCTAATGAAAACTAGGGCCTAACAGTGGTAAGCACAGCACTTTCCTATTCCCACTAACGCTCCCCAGCAGTACTTTCCCAGAATGCTGTTCTCAAGCTGGTCTTTTAAATTTAGCAGTCAAGCAGCTGCAGCCTGAAAGTGGGCAGTAGGAGCTTCTAGCTGTATCTTTCTCTTCCAGCTGGTAAGCACTTGTTATGACTTCCCTTTCTTATTGCTAAGGGGGTGAATCACAAAAACACTTTTAAAAACTGTGTCTTTTACAAGATACATAACACATTACTGTAAGCTAGACTTTTTAGATGACAGAATTATAAAGGAGCCAGTAGGAACTTCACAGTTCAGGCTGTGTTATAATGGAATAGAAGTTACTCAATATTTTTTTGTTGCGACTGAAAGTCTGTGTAATGTACATTGAAATGTAAAAGTCAACAATAACTCACTGAATCATAGCTGTGTCAGCTGGCAAAGAACTATTGCCCCAAATTCATTTCTGGAAATATGTCAATGAAATCAATGGCGTTAGACCAGGGATAAATTTAAGTTACCTGACCATATCCTGCTCTAATATTGCCCAGTGTAAACTGAAATCAGTGTAGTCACTACTGATTGAAAATGAGAATATTAATTTGACTCAGAATATTTATGCCAAAACCAAACTTTCTATTGGAGCAGATTATGCCTAGATGCAAAAAAAGTTTACATATGTAGAACAGTGTTCCTGCCTCCCCCAGAAACCAAAGGCAAACTACAAGAATCAGAAAATGTAACAAGCCCCATGTGCTCAATTGCAATCAAAGACAAGTATTGGTAGCTTCCTTTAAGAAAGAGTCTCCAGTAGTAGGATTCTCAATATTTCTTTCCAGATTTCAGACGAGAAACTTAAGGAGTTTTAAAACTGCTTTATAATTGAAAACTTTTCTGTAGCAGTTTTGCAAAACTTAAAGAGTAACCCATGCTGCCAAAAACTTAGGTGTTTTGGAACATACTTGCCAAACAAAATGAAATATAGCACCGGTGATTGATATAATTTTGAAATTAGATAGGATTTTTGTGAGCAAACGTGTTAAATGTTTTACAAGGTCACTACATTACTTATACTAAATATTTTTTATTACTGTTGACATCTTAGCCAAAATACAGAGAATTTTTGAACTAACCATCTTAATGATCTGACTCTTTAGTTGTTTGTTAGTGCTAAATATACAAACTTAAGAGATATATGATGCGTTTTGCCAAATCACTCCTCTATGTGTCCAACTCTCCCACTTGCTGTAACCTTCCTATTTATCTTTGCATTTAGTATCCATTATCATAGTATCTAAGCAACTGTGAGAGCAGCACCAAGGTGCTGATTATTAATCGGTTGGGATTTAGAAGGGGTTTATCAGCTGGACATGAATGGGCTTCAAAAACTGGAAACAGTTTGCTTTTCAAAGCAGGTGCAGAGTGTGTTATTGGTAAAGGGTGCTCCTAGAGGTATGGTGGGAGGAATGTACTGGGGAAAAAAAGTGCCCGGTGTAGCTACCCATGTGGCAAGTGCCTGGGGTTAGCTCTTCAAGGACAGATCTGAAATCAAAGACAATGTGCCATGCTTTTTCCAAATCATCTGGGTCTTGTTTACAATGATAAATGAAAGAGGGAAAACCATGTTGTACAATGGGGTCTGTTCCGTCTAAAAGGAACTGAATGTCGATTTCTCAGTTCATGTGGCAACCCCATTTCTTTGTAAGGTTTGGATGAAACAGAGAAAATCGGGTCTGTAAAGGAATGTTGACTGAACAGAAGGGTGGTGAGGGTCCATTCTGTTGGACTAACTTCATACTTACCTCACCAGTCTCAGGTTATGCTAGCTATGGCCTCATATGAGTAACTGCATTAATAAATGATACAAGCTGAACTTCCTTTGTCTAGAATTATATCCCATGAGTTAATTTATCTAATGCTGTCACATAGGCAGAAAGACTGTATTCACAGTAACGCCTCAAGGCAGTGTTTTGTGGAACTTGTAATAAACAAGGATTATCTTGGGTAAATAGTATAGAATAGTCATGACTGGAAGGAGTATTATCAACAAGTCTGCTATGCCTGGAAAACAGGAAGTGTTAGTCTCCTAGAAATAGCTAGGAAACTATGCAAATAAATTTTACTCCAAACCATTTTGTTACTGCTGTTTTCTGACAAGTGGCCAAAAACTAGTCCAATAAATAAGACTTTGAAAGTGAAAAAGAATATCTGTTGGTTCTTTATCAAGGAATCCTCCACGCTAGGCCTATGAAGAATATTTTAAAACAAGCACTCCAGCTATATACATTAAATCCTACTCTGTGCATTCTGTGTCATATTTTACTGGCCCTGTATCTTAAAAATTGAATTTCTTGGCGGCAAGGACTTGTTTATTCTGTACATTTGACCCATAGGTCAATGCTGGGTAACATCTGCAATGCTACATAAAGATAACCATGAGCTAGATCCTCCAATATGGCCATACAGCAGTCAGTGCACCTGGTGCATGTGTGTGCATACTTGTGCATGCACGTATATGGAACTGTGTATTTTTTGTGTGCCTCCCCTGCCTGATCCCGAGGATAGTGGGAGCTAATTCAACCCTCAGTGCAAGTAGAGCAGCCTTCTCTTATTTACACTGGGACTAGCCGCCATTCCAGTGTCCCAGGATTGCCAAAACACAATTTGCTCTGGCCACACCTCATCCTATCTCTTATGCTGGGGTGGAGGCAGAAGCAGTTTGACCAGCTGGGAATCTTCAGCTGGTTGTTTGAGCCCCTTTGCTTCACTGGAGCAGCACAAAGGGCATGAAGCAAGGCTGAGCATCTGGGCTTCTAAATACAGATTTAAAATCATATTATTTTCCTCTTGTTTGTTTCTCCTCGTGTATAAAGAGAAATAATTCTTCTTTCAATGTGTGAAATAGGATATAGATATTGTTTACAATAAAACATACATAACCAAATGTTTTGAAAAGAAGGCAATCTGACTGCTGTCATGAAAAGTCATCAAAGAACTACATTTTACAAGTCATGGAGGGAACAAAGATATCACCGATCATTAGAATCCAGTATAGGATAAATAATGTGTTTTAGTATCATTTACTATGAATTCCAAATGGCCTAGCAAAAGAATTTCACTTTGTCAATAGCATTTTAAGGATTGTATTATGTTTCACATCACAAACACACATATTGCAACTAAGTTAATAACATGAAGATGATAAAACTTCTAAGAACACAGATTTTTAAATCCCATAAATTTTACATTTGCAGTTTTGATCCAACATATACTAATATTTGACTCCCCGTGTAAGTGTCATCTTCACTGAACACATAAAGGCAAAATCTGTAATTCTTATCTACTGAGCAACTGTACAAAATAAATTCAGAACACTTGGAACAAAACGTGATTCAGAAGGAATCAAAACTGATTGTCATACTAAAGTTATTTCTAGCCTGTTTTTTGCTGATCTTGGGGCCCTGTTATACAATCTCTAATCACTCAAAACTCCATTGATATGAGTGGGAGTTTAGCTTGAGTTAGGACTGCAGGATCAGGCCTTTATTCATGAATAACTACTAGCTCAACCAGAAATGCTAATTTACTACAACAGTACCTTCCCTTGGAGACAAAATCCTTTAGAAATAGTGAAGAAGGAAGAAGCAGCATGCTCACATGATTGTACTGAGGCACCCTGAATTGTAGAATTGTAACCAATACATAGACTATTAGTACTATTCATCTATAATTCTGACCCATTTGTTCAATTAAGCAATACATATACAATACATTCTCCAATACACTCTGAGGTATCTGGCAATCAGAGTTTTGGCAATTAAGTGTCACTATCCTCTCCAGGTTACATACTAACCCTAAATTGGACTCAAGCCCATGTTCACATATATAACTGCATCATTGTGGATGTCTGCAGACTGATAGCATACTTCTCTAGATACACAGTGGTGCTGTCTGATATCTTTCAGAGTAGAATTAAATCCATTGTTTCAATCCCATGCCAGAAAACTCAGCCTTTTATAGGTGTTCTGATATAGTCTCAGTAAAGACCAAACCCAAGGAAAAAAGGAGGGATAATCTGAGGTAGGAAATGAGTAAGTGAATCGTAAAGAGTCAGTGCTGTCACATGGAATGGAGCTTGTGTCCGGGTGGTACATGAGGCGTCACTAATTGCAGCCAGCTCTTAGGTGTTCAGCTGTCATCAGGCATGTTGCTGCCAGGGGGAAAAGCCCCAAATGGCAAGCCTTATTGAGCAGTGCTGACTGGCAGGGAACTGGGTAGTTTGTGTCAGATCCGTTGCAGACATGGCTGCAGTAGCTCTACAATTCACAAATACCTCTGCTTCAACTTGGGGCCCTGAAGTGGAGACATTGAACAAGAAATTAGAAGCAGTGGAGGAGGCAAAATAAAAATCACTGCAGTGCAAGTACATTAGATCACACCATTAAATACGCGCTGGAGGAGTTAAGCCAAGAAGCTCTGATATTGCTGAGACAGCAGTCCCAATACACAGAGCATCAACACCGTGGCTTTCAATGGAGATCCTTCCTGGCTATTAAGAAGGGTGTTGGCAGAGCGCCAGAAGGACCTCAGCTCAGCTCTCCAGTGAAAAGCAAAATGGCAATGACACAGGGAGTGACTGGGTGTAAATTGTCAGATGGAAAATCCTCAGCACTCCTGAACTGAAGGCTCAGAAGTAAAAGCTGAAATGCTTGCAAACTAGAATCTGATTTTATATAAGACTAAAAAATATGCCATTCCCCTCTTACCTTTTGATTTAATCCGTTTTTGTATTCTGTTCAGACACTAGTTTTGCATAACTCAGAGGTAGATTTAGCCCCACAACTGGGCCTACAATACTCAGCCATGATGTAATGTAGTTCATATTCCTAAAAAACAAAGAAAACATGCATGTATTATAAAAATCTTTACTGACGTTCAGATTTATGCCTGAAAGTCACCTTATACCAGACAACTTTCTTTAAAATGAAGTTACTAATGCGCTTTACGCATTTTGAGTCTATTTTAACTTACTGGATTTAGGTGAAAACACAGTTTTACTACACACAGATGAGGGGGTGACAATTTCTTGACTGTTGTTCTGACCTTGCAAGTGTATACAACTGATTTACATACATTAAACATCTTGCTATCGCCTCACAAACTGCACTGGTGTTCCTCACCTGTTTTCTCTTTGTGAATTAGCCAATACAGGAGCCATGAATTCATTAGTCCGGCAGGGATGAAGGACAAAGAATGGTTGACCAAGTAATGGGTGTTCCTGAAAGAATCCATCAGTTGTTTTTATTATCAAAATGGTTTTAGGAAAAAATACAACATGCTATTTGAACAAAAAAAATGGGCCAATTCCTCGATAGTGTAATTCAGCAGCTCACTTCAGTGAAGTTACACAAAGGATAATTTGACCCCTGTTGTTTTAGTAACACTAAAGGCATTTAAGCAATCAATATTCAAGTGTACAGTTTCTAATTCTGAAATAGAAATAAGTGTACCATGTAGGTTATGCTCTCATTTTAATTATGATGCAAAGGTTTTCAAAGCAGCTCAGGTTACTTGTAACAGCAGTGAGGAAGTTAACAGCTGAAAGCAAGTGGGAAAAGTTGCCATTTAAAAGTATGTTCTGACAGAATGTAATGCATACCCCGGCTGAGGAGCCTTCACTGAACAGCTCCTTGACAATCAGGCCAGCTCTACACTACAAGCTTATGTCGATATAACTACATCACTCAGGGGCCTGAAAAATCCACACCCCTGAGCAACCTAGTAATACAAACTTAATCCCCGGTGTAGCCAGCGCTTCTCCATCAACATAGGTACTGCCTCTCGCGAAGGTGGATTGACTATCCTGACAGGAGACTCTTTCCTGTCAGCATAGTAGCATCTTCACTCAAGTGCTACAACAGCGCAGCTGTGCTGCTGTATGTGTAGACAAGCCCTCTGATCATGATCCTTGGGTCTTGCCAAGTTGAAGGGCAAAGATGGTTTTATCTGGGGATCAGATTGGGAGTGGGGGTCTCAGGGCTATTTTAACTTCCTCGAACTGGTAATGGCCCTGAGCTCTAGTCCACATGAACAGAGGTTATCTTCCAGTCCATACAAACAGAGAACTGTAGTTTTCTTCACAAAGAACACAGTCTATTAACAAACCAAAAACCTGTTTAATGCTGCAGCAGGACATACCTCATCCACCCCAAGTATTAAAAGCATAGAATCATAGAAGATTAGGGTTGGAAGAGACCTCAGGAGGTCATCTAGTCCAATCCCCTGCTCAAAGCAGGACCAGCACCAACTAAATCATCCCAGCCAGGGCTTTGTCAAGTTGGGCCTTAAAAACATCTAAGGATGGAGATTCCACCACCTCCCTAGGTAACCCATTCCAGTGCTTCACCACCCTCCTAGTGAAATAGTGTTTCCTAATATCCAACCAAGACCTCCCCCACAGCAACTTGAGACCATTGCTTCTTGTTCTGTCATCTGCCACCACTGAGAACAGCCGAGCTCCATCCTCTTTGGATCCCCCTTCAGGTAGTTGAAGGCTGCTATCAAATACCGCCTCATGAAGTAAGAAGTTAAGGGAAAGGCTTTGTGCATTCCTTTTCACCTTGATATCATTTACAACACTGTTGATAACAGTCCAATGCTTCATAAGGCTTTCTCATTCATCACAAAAGCAATACACGCCACGACTCACTCAAACTTGCACTCTAATGCAAAACTTTAACAATGACCTAAGCTGTAATTATATCAACAGATTAGCACCTCTGCTTTAACACTGCTAAGGTACCACTGCACCAAAATAAACAGAATCCTACTTCATCTCTGCACTCAGCAAGGGGCATAAGCATCTAGTATGTCACAGCTAGGAGCAATCTGAAAATGATTCCAGAAAAGTAAAATATCAAAATTGGAACACCCAAAACAGGAACAGGTACCCTGCTCTCTATCTCTCTCTTTATTTTTACACAATACCCGTACTTAGTTTAAATGCTACTGAGCTAGATCTTTAGATAGGGCCAAGAAGCTCACACTGGAACTCAATGGGGTGAAGAACAGGGGATGTGAGCATGCATATAAAGCCAGCATAAAGTTCACCTTTGCACTCTCCTAGTCCAAACTTGGCTCTGTGCAGAGCTTGAAACTGTAGTTGGGGATTGAAACTGTAGTTGAGGATTGAAACATAATCTCTGGAACACTTGGCGATGCATTGGGTTGTGTAGGTGGGTACATTTCCAGTACAAGTTCTTTGATAGACACTGTACGTCCCTATGCTGCTGGCTTCATTTTCACAACATCCCTGCCACCCATGCTGTTAGCTGACGCTCTTGAATCAGTCAGAACTCTAAAGAGTGCGAAAGGGCAAGTTCTTCGACGCCAGAACCAACGCAATGTTAAACTCATGAGACAAATGTTGGATGGATGCTGGACTCCTTGTAATGCACTGTCCCGATCACATCATTCCAAGCAGGGTTGCAGATGCTGCTAAAAATACTGAGATCTGTGACAGACTGAAGAGTCAGCACAGCATCTATATCCAGGCAATAAACTACCCCACAGGTCTATATGGAGAAGAGCTGCTGCCTACTCCTCATCACACACCTCAGATGATGAATTATTTCCTTGAGAAACAGGGCTTGACATTGTAGCTGGGGTGACGGAGGCACCCTTGCTGCAGGCCCTTAAATGCACTGTGTACCGGCAACAGGGGAAAGTGACAGTACAGAAGCCACAATACTGATTTTACACTACTTGGGGAGGCCCCTACTCCATGCGGCTGGATACACTAGCTCTGGGGCCAGATTTCAGCAGTGGTTTGGCTGTATTTTATTGAAAGATCTAGGTCTTTGCCTACACTCACCAGCAAAATGTTCATAGACTTAGTCTCCCTGCAGTATAATGAAAAACTCACATTTCCTCCATTCCCCAGCCTATATCAGGGGCAAATCCTGGCCCCACTGAAATCAGGGGATGTTCTTCCATTGACTTTATTGAGATCAGGATTTGCCCCACAGCATTTAAAATATTTGAATAATAACTGGGGGCCCTCTGACAGTGGCAGGACACTTCGTTCTAGTGCTAAAAACATGCACATGGGGATAGCCAGCATTTTCTTCTAACATAATATTCAGAGGCTGAAAATATTTTCAGACCTCTTTGTTTTACCTCTTCAGTGCAAACAGTTAATTCATGCAAGACTGCTACCATCTGCTGTCAGTAATAGTGAACTGATGCTGTTCTGCACTGAGAAACAAGTGCCTGTGTGAATTAAGTATCTTTGCCATTGAGCTGCTAGTCTGAATCAGTCTGACGTTTCTAAAAGACAGTTCAGGGAAGTGGTATTCCTTGGAGGTATTAAAAAGATATTTAATGCTGTTTACATACTATTAAAGCCCTCCCCCACCAAAAACTAAAATTGCACAGCAAATAAGCAATTAGTCCCAGCAACCTTAAATATAATGAATACTGCAAAGAGATATGTTCACCCCCCAAATTAACAAAGGTGATTCATCTAGTTCTTGATTTTACTTGCTTGTACAGGGCACAAAAATAATTTCACTATCTGAATATTTACATTTTCTCCTCAGTGTCTTGTAGTCCATATTCGGCCTGATCCTGCACTGAGCTGGGCAAAACACTCTTAGGTGAGTCAGGAATGCAGGCCTATTGTTCTATGTAACATCATATTAATTCATTGTTCTACATCTTTCCTCTTCAAGTACCTCCTTGCTTTGTAACTTAATGATGCCTGGAGCTTAAAATATTTCCCAGACACCTTTGAGCCAGATGTACGTATGAAAGAGCTGGGCACATCTTCACTATGCGGGAGGAACGTTCCTGTCCCACCCAGCTGTTAAGACTGTAGCTGGGATTTTTACAAGCCTACTATTGTCCTTCCTTAGTCCCTCCAACTTTCATATCAGGCTTTACATCATGGGTGTCTGATAACTGTCATCCTTCCATCTGCTGGAATGGAATAGAGCACTTTACCTCTTCTTCCTGTCCTGGCTGCTGGGAAACAAGAGTGCCAAAATAAAAGCAAGTGGGTTTTTACAATACTCGTAGCTGCTCTTCCCTCTTGTTGATCATTGAGATTTTAATTGAATATCTCTGCATTTCTCCATAGGTGGGTTTAATCATATATTATTTTTAATATTCTCTTTCTGGAATGCAAGCAGCTTGCCACTTCATTACTGCAAAGGCCATCACTGCTGGGAATGAGCAAGACTTCTGCAACACTCCCTTCCACTGACTTCCTGACTGCTGTGAGGGAGCCAGTGAAGTTTAGTCTGTTACTCTATCCCACCTCCCACTCTATTTCTTGGGTCCTTCTCCCTGTCAGTAACTCCACAGCTTGCCTCTGTCACGTTCTCAAACAGAAGCAGCACCATGAGCGTGACATGATTCTTGAAAGTGTCATTGCTGTGCACAAGATTCTGAATAGCAGCAGTGAAGCTGACCAGTTTTGTTAATTTCATGCTGCTGATGTTTGGCAAAGCTTTGAGCAGATGCACACTGAAAAAAGACAGTGTCGCTTTGGTCCATATTTAGAAGGTTGTCATCACAAGCTAATCACTGTGAATTATTTGTTCAGCTCTAATCCAGGAAATTGGAGTACATTACAGCTGTTTACTTTAAAGACCTCCTTTACCAGCAAAAGTAGGAGGGAATCCCATCAAGCAAATAGCTGTGTCTAAAGTTGGAAATTTAAATGTATTCACTATTGTGCAAGGATGTACTCAGCCCTAAATAAGAGACATGAAATAACATGAATCTGTACTGCTTGGAAGTGTTCAAAACCTGAAGGTCAAGGATATGTGCCATATAGAATGTACTGCATGTTTTGATGTGAAAGTCACAGAAGACCAGGAAATCACAACATATCATTAGCCAAGGTCCACCAAGCACCATACCACAAAAACCTCCAGAAAGGTCAGGCAGAGGCAAGGGAAAAGGCTGCTGAGGGCTCAATTAGAGAAAGTGGGAAGTCTGTCTAAATCCTGAATTCCAATTCCTGTACACAATCATGTCCCCATTCTTGTGTTAACCAGCTGTTATCATGCTTAATGTAAATTCAAGGTTAAATCACTGAATCTGCACCTCTGAAAAGGAAGTGATGGACAGTTGCCAATACATATGTAAGCATTATCACAGGAATGAATGGCACCTGTGGAACTCCTTGCCGGAGGATATTGTGAAGGCCAAGACTATAACTGGGTTCAAAAAAGAACTAGATACGTTCATGGAGGATAGGTCCATCAATGG